TCACGCCAATTCGAAAGATGATAGACGATATAAAGAATCTGAACCAAGCAAAAAACCTTCCAAAAACATGGAGCACACGAAATAAAAATACTTTTATTGGTAAATTTAGATTTCAAGAACATTTTTATAATATAGTTTGTAAGTTAGCAAATAAATTTCGGTTTCTTGATGCAATAAAAATTTATGATATAATATGTAAAGTTAGGTAATAATTGTTTACCAAATAAATTTCAAATAAACACTTTTTCTTGATGCAATAAAAATTTTCGAATAAACACTTTTTTGACGCAATAAAAATTTTATATTAAATTCTTATATAATAATTTTTATATGTCATTAAGCCGTCGGGTCACGAGATCCGGTTAAATAAAATCTCTGATCAGATTTAAACAGCGATTACGTAACTGATCATGGTGGTTATGCTAGGGGGTTGTCTATGAAAAGTTTATCATCGTGATAGATTTTCCATAGACAGCTGACTGTACGCAAAATATAATTAAAAGTCCGAACAACCTTTTTCCCTTGGCAGCACTCAAATGTTGATATTGGTAGATCGTTAGAGAAAAGTAAAAAAAGGTTTCTTTGCATTTTCAGACAAATATATACTTTTTTAACATTTTATTTATAAAAGAAATATTAAACCCAATTTCCAGATTCTCAAGGACCAGGATTTTAATATACAGTCGACTCTCTATAAGTGCACCTCCTCTCTCTATAAACGCACATCATTTGATCTTTCAATAAATTTTGTGTAACATTACGTAGAAATGATAAAAAAATTAATTTATTAAAGTTATAGTATAATACGATTTTATGATGTAATAAATAAATAAAATAACGATAAAAGGAAGTTTATATTATTATTTGTTATCCTAAATTGCTTATGCTTACCAAAAAGGTTAGCAGAACTACGCTCACGGATGAGCAAAGATTAGAAGTTATTAAACACAGAAACGAAAATTCAAATGAAACCCATGATGATACTGTTAAATGGATAAAGAATACATATAATCTTGATATTCATCGTACTACAATTGGACGCTTATTGAAGCGAAAAAATGATATTAAAGAAGGTTCCTCCTCAAAAAGAATAAAACCTGTTCAACATAAAGAACTTGATCATGTATAGCATGAATGGATTATACAATATCAAGCTTGTAACAATAACGGATACAATTTTAATAAAAATGGCTAAATGTTTTGTGCAGCTTCTAAATTTGTCTGTAGATCAGTTCAAGTTTTTGGTAGGATGGTTAGACAAATTTAAAAAAAGATATGGAATTTCTAAAATTAAATGTCATGGAGAAGTTGCTTCAGCTGATCATAATGCTGCGGATACTGCAATTCCAAGGCTAAAAATTTTATTAGCTCAATATAATCTTCAAGATATTTACAATATGGATGAGACTATTATCTTGAACCTGATACTACACTGGCTACAACAAGTTTAAAAGGCAAGAAAAAAAATAAAGAACAATTAACAGTTGCTTTTTGTATAAATGCTGATGGAAGTGATAAGCATGAACCACTTGTAATTGGAAAATTTCTAAATCCATGATGTTTTAAGCATGTTAATTGAAATAATCTATACATAATATATAAGGCCAATAAATCTGCTTGGACGAATACAATAATATTCAATAAATAGATACAAGATTTTGATCAAAAAATGACTGAGTGTAATGTTATCCTTTTAATAGATAATGCTGAAAGTTATAAATTTGATGGTATAACTCTTAGAAATATGAAGCTACATTTTTTTCCTCCTAAAACAACAAGTAAAATTCAACCATTGGATGCAGGAGTAATTATGTCATTTAAAAGTCATTATAAATTACAATTTGTTCAATGGATTATAAATAAATATGAAACTAAACAATATAATGAACAAAAAAAAATAATCTCAACATACTTACTGCAATAAAGTTTATTGTAAATGCTTGGCATAATATTTCTTCAACGACGATTAAAAATTGTTTTAATCACACAAAAATTCTTCCTGAAATTTTAGAATCAGAAATTAATGAAGGAATAGGAGTAAATACTGAGAATTCATTTACAACTACTAATGAACTAAGTGATCTTGAACTTCAAATAACTAAGGAAGTTGATGAATTTTTAGAACAAAATATGACCAATATGCTACCTACTGATCAAGAAATCATAGATTTAGCAAGCAAAGAAGTTATAAACCAGAAACCTGTGGATTCTAATAATGAAGAGCCTGAGGTTACAAAAAAAGAAGCATTAAATGCACTTGATACGCTTTCTTTATATCTCTTGTAGCAAAAAAAATGATACAAGAGAATATATTAATTTGATTGCAAAATTTAGTAAAGTAATTAACAAAAAATAAATAATTTTTTTTTGTTAATTCAAATAATTAAAAACATTTAATAACTATCTGTGGTTGTTTTTTTTTTAAATTTACAAAAACTTTAATAGCAATTTGAGCTTCGGTTTTGTATTCATAAAATTCGCTTTATTAATAAAATTTTTTTAATGTTATGATTTTATTTTAATATTTGTTTCATTTTACAAATTTAAACTAAGTCATGAGATTTTCTCTCTGTAAATGCACAATTCTATAAGTGCACATTCCTCAATAATGTGCACTTATAGAGAGTCAACTGTAATTAGCCCAGATCCACCATATCCAAATACAGTCATACCTGAGTTATATCCCTACCTGATTTATATTTACATTTTATAGCAGAATAATTTTCTTTTTTTATATAGTTTGTATATTTCCAAAAATGCTCTGTAAAAAAGGGGTGATATAACTCAGGTATGACTGTAAATAGTTATAATACCTAGAGAATAGAGAGTTATAATAAATATTATAATATTTTTTTTTTTGGATCTAAATAGAATTATTTAAGAACAATCAAATTTATAATTCAATCAAGTCACAAGACTATTGTGTAAATATTTATTTAGCTGGCGAAATATGCAGAAATTTCATTAATTTCTCAAATTCATAGAATCAGCTGATTCCATATATCAATGTCATACTTTTTCACAACCAATACCAAAAATGTATGACAATATACCTATTGTATTTGTTTATTGGAAAGTTTGTTTTTATGTACAGTTATAGATTTCTTAGCTCGACTCTAAAATGTGTTTCTTAATGGAGATTAAGTTATAGAAATTCCTTCAAACTATGTCAATCCTTAAAATTCCTAGAAAAAATAGACTTCTAAAATAATGATGAAAAATGCATTCAATCCACATATCATAAAAGTCAATTACTCGATTAAATTTTGGAATTGATTATATTCATCAAATCCAATATAATTGATTTTATGTAAGATCAAAAATAAATTAGGCTCTAGAATTAGTTCATTAACTAAATCTGATTAGCAAAAAATATACTTAGAAACTTTCATAAAAACACAGAGTAAGGGTAATATTTTCTGAACCTATAACAATAAGGGATTTCAGAATTATACTTCATAAATCAAATAAGATAAACAGAAAGAAATGTTGATATTACACAACTGATTTTACACACAGTGTGAAACACATAAAAAATGAGTTTACTATACTTAATCGACTTGATCAGTCAGCTAGTACATGTTATGATTATAATTTAACACCAATTTTTATTATATTGGATTATAATCATAATATGTATTAGCTGATTAATCAAGTTTGATCAAATATTTATAAGATATTGGTTAATATCATGAATTTATTTTGTCAGAGCAAATGGTTGGCTAACATGTGCCACACAGCAGCACATTTCAGCCAATCATTTGTTTTGACAGAACAAATTTTATAATATTTATCATTGCATGATCCAATATTGATGTTATCGTGCAATTATGATAATGATTTCAAGTCATTATTGGCTAACTGAGTTTTAATAAGAGATTGTTTTGCTTGTATAATAATATACAAAAAATAACAATATGAAAAATTTATAATCATAAGAGTTTGCACGAAAATGTAAAAACATTTTTTTATGTGTTTCACACTGTGTGTAAAATTAGTTGTGTAACATTAATGTTTCCTGTTAATTAAATGATGTATTTATTTTTGAAATAACAGATAAGTGATGCACAAATTCTATTTATTTTTTCTTCCTTATTATAAATTGTTAATCAAAACTGCTTCTAATACCGTTTTATACCTAACATGCCTAAAATTTCACATCAACAAAGACACTTATGAATGAATACTCAACTAGCATAAATAAGGCTATTACTAAAGTTCTGGATAAAGAAATTAACAAACTGTTTGAATTAATACAAGCCATAAAACTAGGTCGATATCTTACTATACATGAAAGAACAATTAAATTTAACGATTTTCTCAAGTAAGCTAAATAAAAAAAATCTAAGTGAAAGTTTAATAAGTTATATAAAAAATAATTTAAGCAAAAGTTTAGTAAGTAATATAAAAAAATAATTTGAGTGAAGGCTTAGTAAGTTATATAAAAAAATAATTTGAGTGAAGGTTTAGTAAGTTATATAAAAAAATACCTTAAATGAAGGTTTATAAATAATTTGAGTAAAAAATTTGAGTAAAGTTCAATAAGTAATTTGAGCGAAAGTTTAATATGTCATGTAAAAAAAATAACTTAAGTAAAGGATTAGTGAGTAATTTGAGTGAAGGATCAGTAAGCAATTTGAGCAAAGTTCAATAAATAATTTTTTTTTTTTTTTTTTTTACAAGCGAAGGTTCACCTCTTGAGTGCTGCGTTTATTTATTAATTAGGAATATGTATATATGACTATGCCTAAGTTAAACATTATGCAAGCAAGAATAGGGCTCATGGATGATTATCTATATCTAAGAGTTACCTTATCCGATAGCTTAAAGTATCTCTAATCTCCAAATTTACCCCAACCTTAAATCTTGGCTAGATAAAGTCTAAAACTTTGACTTTCTAGACTAGGTTCTTGTGTACCCACTCACAATTACCTTTACGCAGTTGCCTAGGCTTCCACTTGTGGATGAGGCTGTGCTTCTATTATAGATTCATCATATGATGTCCCAGGTTTCAACCCCCGCGGTATTAAAATTCCTACTCTGCAGGGCCTCAAATGCATTTTGCCCATGTATAAGTTCACAACAACCCTGGTACCCGCAATTAGACCATATTCTTACTCAGATTCTTTATTGGTCCCTTCTTTACTTCCAGCCAGCAAATCGGAAAGGTCGGTTTGCCCAAATTTTAGGTGCCTGAAAGACGCCCTCCCCTTGGTACATACTTTCAGAGCATATATCCTTTTTCTCCAGTGCGACAACCCGGCAGTTCAGCTGGTGTGTCCTCTACCATTAGGACCTGGTTACTCGGTTCTCCAATCTCGGGCCCTGGTTCGAATTCAGCCCTCTTGTGATACTATCATAGATCACTGCTACTCTTAACTTGGGACTTCCCAAATGGGCTTTCGGTTATGCTGGTTCCTCGGATTTATTGCACCATTGTTTCCATTACTAGATGGTGCGACCAAAGTTACAGATTAGATCCAACCAATAAGCATAGCCGTTAACCGAACACAAGACTATTTTTCAAATTTCGTCATCTGTGGGATTCAAACTCTAGACCTGTCACTTGGAGAGAGTGATGACTAGACCACTACACTAAGTTGCCACACCTCAGTTCAATAAATAATTTGAACAAAGGATATAAAAAATAATTTGAGCAAAGATTTAATAAATAATTTGAGCAAAAATTCAATAAATGATTTGAGCAAAAGTTTAGTAAATAATTTGAGCAAAGGTTTAGTAAGTTATATAAAAAAAAATACCTTAAATGAAGGTTTAGTAGTAATTTGAACAAAGGTTCAATTAATAATTTAAACGAAAGTTATAAAAATAATTTGAGCGAAAGTTATAAAATAATTTGAGCGAAGATTATAAAAAATAATTTGAGCGAAGGTTATAAAAAATAATTTGAGAAGGTTATAATAAATAATTTGAGCAAGGTTTAATAAGTAATTTTAGTGAAGGTTCAGTAAGTAATTTGAGCAAAAAGCTTTATTATTATTCTGTATTTTGTTATTAAATAGTTTGTTGATCTGCATAATAAAATTTTTACTTATATTTTCTGATTTCAAAATTTTGATACACAAATAAGATTTTTTAACCTATTATTTATTTCCGAAATACGCAATTTTTTTTAATTCTGAAACCCCTTAATATTAGAAATATTAAAAAAATGAGAATTTAATATTTTAAGCTCTTGGCTTATGTTTATATATTTTCGATTTTCCTTAGACATTTTACTTTATAATAATAATAATTACTACCTTTGTTTTATCAAAAATAGTCAATTATTTTAGTAGTTCAAAAGATCATTGCAAAAAATTTTAATAAATTTTGATAAAACTTAATGTTAATATATTTTTAAAATTATACGAATGTTTGACGTTTTTGTGTTCTGTTTTTGAGCAGCCAATTTTTATTCTAAAATTACACAAATTATGAAATTCTGGCCTGTAGAGTAACTTTAATTTTATACAAACTTTTTGTATATGATATATAAAAACTTAAAAAAAAATTTTTAAAAGAACCCCATTTTATGCTTAATAAAAATATAGTGTGTTAATAAAAAGGGACCAATTGTTTTTAGTGAAGTATTTTTAATTTTTAAATTAAAAATATCTCAACAACTATTTAATCAGATTTGCTAAAAATCTATTCTTAATTAATCTTGAATCATATAGAATTAAAATAAAAAAAGAGACTTGTTATTGCCACCTCCATTTTTGTTAATGCCACCTTCAAATATAAAAAGTGCCCCGGAAGAGATATTTCTATTAAGTAAATCCTTATTTTGACCTTAATAAAAGTTGTTCATCAGGCTATTCCTGTTCTAATGGTAGTAAAATCATTAAAATTGGACCAGTAGTTCCTAAGATATATATATCTGAATTTAGCTAAAATTTATCTACTTTTTAAAAAAAGCTACTGGCCAGATATTAATGATTTTAATACCATTAGAACCGGAAAGGCCTGATGAACAACTTTTATTAAGATCAAAATAAAGATTTGCTTAGTAAAAATACCTCTTCTGGAGCACTTTTTTAAATTTTTGGGGGTGGTATTAACAAAAATGGGGGGTGACAATAACAAGTCTCTAAAAAAACTTATTAAATTTGATAAAATATGCTTAAAATCAAGAAACATTTACTTGGAAAAATTTTGTTTATTTTTTATTGTTTCATCTTATAGTATTTACTAAATTTAATTATATTTATTTATTATATAAACAAAAAACATTAAAGTTATAATATTCAAAATAAATATATTTAAATTTCAATAAATAATGCAGTCTGTTGTTATTAATCAATTATTCATTGGTCCATTTATTAACCCATTCTTTAACCTTTTCCAAAATTTCATTAATCTTTTGCTCATCACCACCAACTTCTTTTTTTAAAGCCTTTTTTGCTTTTTCATAACACATTTCACATTCATCTTTAAATGTTTCAAACATTATAATTTCTAAATATGCTAGTGCTAAAGTTAAACATAATACTTTTTCATTTTCAATTCCAATATTTTCAAAATCTTTAAAATCATGTTTATCAAACCAAGAATAAAATTTAGCAGATGGTAAAAATGATCCATCAAATGATTGGAAATTGAGAAAACTATAAAGAGTCTCAATTTTTGGAGGTTTTGATTTTACAGAAGTATATGGTAAAACTGATACAGAAGAATTATTACTTCCAATATAGGAAGTCTCTTCTAGAAAACTAAAATCTTGTTCTTCTAAAAAACTAGAATCTTGTTCTTCTAGACAAAGAGAAAACTTTGTTCTAATAGATTAAATCGAACTAGCTCTTTTTGATGATGATGACAGAAAACTCTTAGGAGCTGACATGTAGTGAATTAATGAATCTTGTTCTTCTAGACAAAGAGAAAACTTTGTTCTAATAGATTCAATCGAACTAGCTCTTTTTGATGATGATGACAGAAAATTCTTAGGAGCTGACATGTAGTTAAATCCTAAAGCCATGCTTTTTACTGACTTACCTGGAGTATTGATAATTATATATTGCACCCAATAAATTATGTAAATATAAATTAAAAATTGGTTTAGATGAAGATAAAAATAACTTATGTGACCGCAATACTGAAAAAGAAGCAGCGGCAACAGGGACTACTCTTTGGTCTGACAAAATTTTAGCTTCAGCCAACAGCTCACTATCCCTTTCATCAACAGCAAGGAAACTAATTATATCAAAAGCAAATAATATTTATTTATATTAGTTATAAAACAATATTTAAAAAAAATTTATAAAAGAAAATCACCTTGTATATTTGGAAGCCAAACTATATGTTACACCCAATTTTACAATTTGTTCACGAATAAGTGAATATGGCATGATTTTATTACTATTTCTATGATGCTTATGAATAAATGAAGTTCCATCTTCAAGATCCTGAATAAGCTTTCTAGCTGCAAGTGTGTGAATTTTTGATCCTTGTAAAACTACTGGATCCAATGGAATTGAAAGTTTCATAGGGCCATCGTTAGAGATTGCACTCAAAATAATTTCTTTGCAAGGCTCGAGTCCTTTTTCTAAAATACAATAAACTATGAATCGAGCACCAGAGTAAATTGATGGAATCAGAAATGGTGCTTGTTAAATTTTTATGTCCGTAAAGATGTTTTGAGTGACTGGTAAAAGTGTAGTAATATTGCTAAAGAAACTAATAATTGGGTTATTAATAGGTTTAATTTCTACTGGTAAAGCATCGTTGTTTGTCCAAGTAATATTATAATCTTTGATAGGAGATTTTATAGCATTTTTTAGCATTCCAATAATCTTTTTATCCATTCGTTCAGTATTTGTAACAAATTGTGCATATCCTTTACCAGCACGAGAAACAGATTCAACCAAATGATGAGAAACTGAATCACCAATTCCAATTGAAAAAAGCCTTAAATCATCCTTCTTTTTTTCTTTGCTAGATTTAATGAGTTCTACAATTTGATCAACATTATAAACCTGACCATCAGTAAGAAGAAAAATGGATGTTGGCATATCATTCCTTGAATTTTCAAAGACCCATTGTAATGGATTATAAATTTCAGTTCCACCATAATTTGCATCCATTTCTTGAGCACGTTTGAGGGCTTTTGAAAAACTTCCTTCAGAATAAGGTTGACTCTTTTTAAATAAAGAATCGAAACGGGATCCGAATGATACCACATTAAAAAGACAATTTTCAGGTAATGAACGAAGAAACAATTGGAGTGCTTCAGATGCTTTCTTAATAGGTCCACCTTGCATTGAACCAGATCTATTATCATAAATTTATTAATATCATGACATGATAACTCTTATTATGTATATTTTGAAATTTACCTATCAATTACAAATATTAATTCGGACATTGCTTCATTAATGGCAAACTTTGGTACTAAAGTTAGCATAACAATTAGTTTCCGTTTTAGGGTTATATTCGACAAAGGCCCTAAAGTCAGAAAAAAAAACATTAATTAAAAGAGATAAATAATTAAATACTGTATCATAATATAATAAAATATCGTTACCTTGGCTGATCGAGACCCAGACTTTTAACAACAAGTATAAAATCTTTTTCTAAATAAGTAATTTGATCGGCTAGAGTAACCTTTGAAACATTTGGATTGCCATCAATATTTAGTTCTACCGAAATATGATGAGATGGTGATTCGATATTTTGAATAACGGAAGTCATTCTACATGTAATAGCAAGCTTTAAATAGTAATCAGTCTTGTCGGAATAAGATACTACATCAGGAACAAGCTTTTTCCCATCATTTGAAGAAGAATAATCGGATGAGCCATATCGTGGCGCGATAGCAGTAGGGAAAACAAACCGAACATTTTCAAATTCAGCATCATGTTTTAGTTCGGTTACATATGTAATTTTGATAACAACAGTTTGACCGGCTGTAATATTACCAATTGAGCATTGGAAAATATCTGGGAGTTGTTCTTCAAGTAGATAAGCCCCATGACCTTGCTGTGTAAATAAATATTTTAGTGTTAAAAAAAGTGTATGTATAAATATAGTTACTTAATGTTACCTGAATAGCTTCGTCATACTCCTTTGCAGCTTGCTTTGCTTCTTTGACTATTCCTTTAACTTTTTTCTTTCCGTCAATTTCAGCTTCAAATCCACAAACTGCTGCGGCTTCATGAAGTGGGAATTTATAGATGGCTTCAATCGTTTTTTGTTCAACATTTTTATAGGTCTGACAAACCGTTGCTAGATTAGACATGTAAGGTTTATAAAATTATACAAAAAGTAATAAACTATAATATTATATGATATGTAAATTAATTACTTTCGGCTATCATATCAACGACTAATTAAATTTAAAAGAAACATTAGCAATATACAGTATAAAGGATGACCAGATTGGGTAGATTAAGTTGTTAGTAAAAATAAACTTCCTTCATATTTACGGATTTCACATACATTTGAGTCTTATCAATTTATAAATAAACTATTTTTGAAAATAAGTGGGGTTTGAAATTTCGAAATAAGAAAATGAAGATAAAATAAGCAACAATAAATAGGGTTTATAGATAGCTAATTACAAAATTAAAATTCATATAGTCCTACTTGAATTTCAAATTTTTAGAAATATGATATAAGATTTAATATTGCAAAGAAATGATCGTAATTCATTATTTTTTGTAAATCAGCTTTTTTCAGTATTAGCTTCAAATTAGATGGAGAGCATAAAAATAATAAATATGATCTCAAACGAGAATACGCGTAATTCACAAAATATATTTTTTTACCAATGTACAAATAAAAGTTTAATCTTCTTTTTTTAACATAATTCATATATAAGTTTACACTTGATGAAATTATTAAACATAAATACTTATTCGACATCTTTTCTTAAAAATGATTTATTAAAGAGAGTGCATGTTGACAAAATGCTGGCCACTTTAGTCATTTTTTCTAATTATTTTTATAATTAATAGAACGAATCCAGGTTCTAAATTCCAGTGATTTCATTCCTTTAAAAGTATAAATAAAAATGTTGCTAATGGTTCTCAAATTTGTAGTAGCTATTTCTTAAATATTTTCTTTTTCATGATAATAAACTTTTCCTGCTATATGAATAAAAGACTTAATACTCTCGAGTACAATTTTATTACCTTCTTGGCTCACAGAAAACGTGTCAATATTGATCACCTTCTGGACAATACACCCCTTTAAAAAGGAATGAAAACAAAGGTCTGGACATCACTAATTTAACATCTTCGAAGATGGTAAGCAACCATATCTCAAGCTGAAGAGACTGCATCCACATCTTTCGTGCAATTTTTTAAACTTAAGAGAGGTTTGATTTATTCATCAGGAGTCATTTAACATTTCTCGTGCCTTCTTAAACTTCACAGTTCATGTAATTATAGTACTTAAAAGTTAGTAAAGGATACTTATCAAATATTGGTAGAACTTACCATCATAGTAATGAATTTTACCACCCCAATTTCTCGGCAGATATAATGAAGAATTCTTTCGAGTTCGAAATCTCAAAGAATAAAATAAAGTGAGAACCAACGCCATCAGTAAAGCTTATCAACTATTTTCGAACCAATCTCTGGAATCTGAATGATCCTTCTTTGATGTAGAGTTTATAACTTTTTAGAAGTAGCTAACATAACGAGAAAAACTTGTAGCATCTATTTTAACCTAACTTTTTTTTGAATATAATAAATTTGTCAAATCATATTTTATTATTTATGGTTTGATTTTAATCAGGCAATAAAAGGTATAAAAATTTTAAGAGGATACAGGTACTATACGTACGCAAATGTGATTAATAAATCAGATTAACCGCACCACTGTTTTATAAACTAAACGACATCGTTCTCCATAAAGAAAGCTTTGCAGAATAAACTTCACATCACCATTCTTTAATTTATTTCTTAAAACTCTTATCAAAATTTTGTTTGATTCGCTTTTTGGTATGGAGTCAACAAATAGCACGCCACCTATTAATTTCTTGTGTGAAGCTACTTTATCATCTACATATTTTTGTATTTCTTTGATATCCTCAAGGTTTTTTTGTATTTAGGGTTAAGAACAATGAAAGCAGTTGGATATTCAGTTAAATCCTTTTCGGAAAAAATGCCACCACCGCTGCATCCAATACTACCGGATGTGAGAATAAACCTGATTCGAGCTCCACTTGGAATCTCTTATTATATAACATTATTCGAAGAATTAGCATATTATAATATTGTTAACTTGTATGAATTTAACTTGATAACACCTTGTATTTGATTCCTTGATGCGATCCACAATAAAAAAAATCCCTTATTTCGAAAAAAAAGGTTAATTTACTATAAAAAGCAATTTGTATTAAAACTTAAATCAACTTGACGGTCAACAATTGCAATGTCTCTAGTATGAAAAAATACATCAATATTAATCTACTCATCTGTAGCTTTTTTATTATAAAGGTATCCATATTTTATATTTACAAAAAATTTTGAGACATTAAAGCTAAACAATTTCAATTATATTTGATATTACTTTCATTATATTTGGTCCACAACCACATAATTCGCCAGATTCATCATATCCTAATTCTGAAAATATTAAATAATAGATATTTATTAAACAATTAATTAACTAATTAAATAACTAATTAATGTATAATTATTTAACTATGCTTGTCTTCTGATAATATTTAATTTGTAAATTCGGAATAAGAACTCCACAAGAACCTATTTATAAAAAATATTTATCGCTTTTAAGCGACATTACAATTAACTTACGATTTAATACCTGAGATAATTCTCTTTTCAGCACATGACATTATTATTGAAGACGTCTCAGTAAGTACATAATAAATTATGCAACATTATGTAATACTTGTATTCACTATCTCTATAATTATTTAGATATTTTGAAATTAAGATTATGTAATAGAGTCCTTTCTAAAAATTCAAGTCTTTAGTCAGAAGAATTTGGGGTTTCGTCTTTTGTCATCATATGAAAAAGGTTTCATCTAACAACTATAGGCCAGAAATATAGATGCCATCATCTTAAATTTAGATTTGCTCTTGTAATTTTTTTGACTTTACTCAATTTATACAAACCTTATATATGTGAGATTCAACCCACTTTTTTTCTTCAAAAATTTACTATATATGAAGATCACTCAAGTATTACATTTATATTACAGACAGTCTGATTTTTTATATTTTTTAATATAATATTCAAAATAGATGTATTTAAAATTTCAATAATTATTCTCAATGCAACCTGCTATTACTAATAAATTATTCATCAGCCCATTTATTAACCCATTCTTTACCTTTTACCAAAATTTCATTAATCTTTTGATCATCACCGCCAACTTCTTTTTTTAAAGCCTTTTTTGCTTTTTCGTAACACATTTCACATTCATCCTTAAATGTTTCAAACATTATAATTTCCAAATATGCCAGTGCTAATGTTAAACATAATACCTTTTCATTTTCAATTCCAATTAGTTCAAAATCTTTAAAATCATTTTTACCAAACCAAGAATAAAATTTAGCAGATGGTAAAAATGACCCATCAAATGATTGGAAATTGAGAAAACTATAAAGAGTTTCAATTTTTGGAGGTTTTGATTTTACAGAAGTAGCTGGTAAAACCGATGCAGAAGAATTATTACTTCCAACATAGGATTCCTTTTTTAGAAAACCAGAATATTTATCTTCCAGACTGTTATCAAATTTTCTTATTGAAAATGTAGGAAAAGAGCTTTTCAATCTTACTGCTATCTTGTAACGCCTAGATTTCAATACTGGAGCCTTGGGAAAATAGGCAGTGGCAACTGGGACTATTCTTTGGCCTGATAAGATTTTAGCTTCAGACACTAACTCATTATCCCTTTCATCAACAGCAAGAAAACTTATTGTATCAAAAGCAAATATTATATATTAGTTATAAAAACTATATTTTAAAAAAAATTTATAAAAGAAGATCACCTTGTAAATTTGGAAGCCAGGCTATATGTTACACCCAATTTTACAATTTGTTCACGAATAAGTGAATTTGGTAAGGGTTTTCCACTATTTCTTTGATGCTTATGGATTAATGAAGTACCATCTTCAAGATCCTGAATAAGCTTTCTAGCTGCAAGTGTGTGAATTTTTGATCCTTGTAAAACTACTGGATCCAA